TTGCCACCCGCGCCACTACGCACGCCGAGGCGTGGCCACTCGGCAGGGGACGAGTCGAGGTCTCACTGCTTAGGGCACCCAGCACCAACATCAGCAACCCTGAAACCCCAAGGGTCCACGCACCTCATCATTATATATGCTGGGGCCTCAACGTGCCACTCTAGGAGGTACTTTCAGGCCCAAGTATTTCAAATGTAGGTACATGCACCCTAGGGAAACCCAAACAGGATACACCCTGACCTAGTCACATGCTTGACCAGAGCCCACGGGAGATGCTGCAGAAATCTGCAAGCAAGACGGCGTGGCTTTACACCCGTCACAAGGACTAAACCCAAAACCCTGAAGCCTAAACCCTGAAGCCTGAACCCCAAGCCCTAAGCCCTAAACCCTACACTGAGTCGTAGGAGGCAATAATATGAACCCTACGTCTCCTCACGCATAAGACACATCGCCCAATCTGAACCCACAAACGCTCGAGCTGGGGCGGCTTTCAGGAATATCTTGGGCTTTCTGCGGAACCCCCTTCCCCCCTCCTACTTGGAGGTTCAATGGTACTTATTAACCAATGATAGCTGTACCTCATAACCCACATATAAGCCCCTTATATTAAGTGCCCCAATATGGCTATAAGAACAGTTATAAGTTATAACTACACTTGTAATTGGCCTAGTAAGTGCCCTGAACCTCCAAGTAACACCTCCAATCCAGTGCACCTCCCAGGAAAGCGCTTCCGAGGTGAGGTACCTGCAAGTCCTCCACCTCGTCGCGGCTTTCAGGTTTAGGGTTTAGGGTTTAGGGTTTAGGCTTTAGGGTTAGGGTTTAGGGTTTAGGGTTTCGGGGTCAGGGCACAGGGGGCACAGGCTTAGGGTTTTGATGCGGTTTCGAAAACACTTCCACCGCGTCTTCCCCGGTATCCCAGGGGCAAACGGGCTCAACCATTCCCGAAGCTGTCTCACGTCCAGAACCCGCCGAGCACGCCTTTTCAGGCACGGATTCAGAACTCCTCACCTCTGCCTTCCTTTTTACACCCCAAAACACATCCAAATGCCCCCCCCCCCCCCCCCCTCCCCATTAAAACCTCAACCCTACAACCCTAACCCCCCCCCCCCCGCCCCCCTGCAAGGGTGCAAGGCAACCCACACGACACAAGGCCTCTTCACCCAATTTCAGTGCCGGCTTAGTCACTTATAAGGTGTCTCCTGAAAGGGTTCCCGTGTTCCTAACATCCCCCCCCCCCGCCATCCACATCCCTAAGCCCTGAGCCCTAAATCCATAAATCCTAACACTTATCCTGCGTCTCCCAGAAACGTCTCCAACAACCCAGGAATGAAAAGGGTTTAGGGTTCATTGTGTTGGCTAAGTCAGTTCATTTCTAGGCTTCCCTTTGGCCAGAGCATACGCCCAGAACCCGCTAATTCCCCAACACTTCTTGACGAGTCCCAAACCCCAAGGCTAGAACCCTGAAGTACCCCAAAAAACACCTTTTGAAGGGTCCCCCCCCCAGACAAAAATTGAGCCCAGGCGCTTGCCTCCCAATAAACCTGAACCCTAAAGCCCTATAAACCCAAACCCTAAGGATCCGCGCCCCAAAAGCCCTAACCCCTATAAGAATCCATGGCCGCAGTCGCTTCTTTGCGATGAGAGCTCAGGCGGCCACCCAGCTTTGCAGAGTGGCCAGGCCTCACTGACATGCTCTTTGTGCCAGGGCAGGGGGAGGAGGGGGAGGGGCCCAGGGTTTAGCACTTAGGCTTAGGTTTTTTTTTTTTTTTTTTTGGGGGGGGGGGGGGGGGGGTTGAGGGGGTTTTAAGACAGGAAGTGGGTTAAAAATCGGGCGAATGGCGCACTGCAGGGATGCATGGATCTGTGGATATGGGGGTTTCCCAAAACAGGGGTACCCCTTCCAGACCCCCAAATTGACTAGAATCCCCGTAAAGGCACCCCTAAAAGGTACCCTATAAACCCTTTTACATCCAGCCTAAACCCGGAAACCACTCAACCCTAAACCCCCCCCCCCCCCATATTTTCGCAAACCACCCATAGTGTCTCATCGCAGAACAGCAGCACAAGCAAGAATTTCACCCGATGGCTGGCTTAAAAAAAAGAATGTGAACTCCGCCACGCCCAAAAACAACCCAAAAAGCCCCACAAAAGACCCTCAAAGCCCAAATTGAAGGCCCTAAGCCCCAAACCCTAAACCCTAAACCCTAAACCCTAAGCCCTAAGCCCTAAGCCCTAAGCCCTAAACCCTAAACCCTAAAACTGAAGCTCCCAAAAGCGAAATGTGCGGCAGCCGGGCAGCTTTCCAATCGCTCGGCTTCCGTGGCAGCCCGACCTCGACAATTGAGAGGGGATCCAAGTTCGGTTTAGAGTTTTGGGTTTGGGGTTTAGGGTTGGAGGGGGGGTGGGGGGGTAGTAGATCTAAATAGGGGTTGAGTGCTTAAGTCTTGCGAGTAATACGATGTTGAGAGGTCTATAATTGGATTAGTATGGCTGAGAGGTTCTATAGGGTTTGTGAGAAACCGGAGGCTCATGGAGTTTAGAGGTTTTGTAGGGTTTGTAGGCCGACAGCTAAGTGTCCAGCGAAATGCAGAAATCAGGGGCCACAACCATTCGCTCCAGAACGAAACTACGAAAGAAGCTACAACTGCCTTGACGCAACCTTGCAGCTCCCTCCTCTCCAGGCACCTCATCCAGATAACTTTGACTCTCCGTGAGATGAAGCAACAGGAAATGCAGCTGCCTAAGAAACAGCCCTAGGCTCTCTGCTTCAAGGGTCCTGCTCATGAGGTGACTAGACCCAAACCCTAACACCAGCCCTATCCTTCCAAGAACCTCGTAGTTAGGTTACCAGAGCTTTGAAGGCCCGTACAATTAGGTCCCTGGAAGGACAGGGTGGGTCGCTGGAAAGAGCGGCCCTAAACCCTAAAACCCCCTAAGACCCTAAACCCTAAGCCCTAAACCCTAAACCCCAAACCCTAAACCCTAAACCCTAAACCCTAAACCCCTAAGAATCACCCCAACGCTGGGCTGACCCAGCGTATCTGCTGGAGGTGTCGCCGTGCCGGGTCCAGAACCAGCACGCCGAATCTGACCTGAAAAGAAGAGGATTAGGGTTCAGGGTTTAGGGTTTAGGGTTTAGGGTTTAGGGTTTAGGGTTTAGGGTTTAGGGTTTAGGGTTTAGGGTTTAGGGTTTAGGGTTTAGGGTTTAGGGTTTAGGGTTTAGGGTTTACCTCACCACAAGGATCCACGATTTCTCTAAGTGGTACAAGCGCCCTGAGTTTCATTACGCCCTCTGAACCCTACGGCTTGTTGACTAAGGATTTTGTCTAGGGATGTAGTACCGGGTGGGTTTAAGAGGCTGAAGAAGGGTTTAGGGTTTAGGGTTTAGGGTTGAGGGTTTAGGGTTTAGGGTTTAGGGAAGAGACCAAAGGCATCCTCCAAGAGGCCATGTGGTATAGGGGGTTGGACTAGGTAGGGGAATTGTACTTGGCCACTTCTCCAAATTATGGTCCCCTTTGGGGTCCTCAAAATGAGGCGGCCCCCCCACAAATTCAGGGTACCCAAAAACCATAATTCAGAGAACTCACCAATGCTAGAATCTGCTCGAAAACTTTACCCAGGTTTGGAGGTATGGTTGTGATCTAGCCCTCCTTCAACTTCCGATCCCACCTTCCCCAATGCCTCAGGACCTAATAACTAGGAAACTAGAACCTGATGCTTGGAAGTGCAGGGCTTTTCGCCGCAATTAGCACTGCACTTATAAGCCCCCTACGTCCTCTAAGTAGGATATAAGTAGACTTGTTAGTAGGGGTTGTAATATAAGTGCCCATGAGCCTCCAAGTAACATAGGAGTTGGAGCTAGGGAACTTGAGAAGGTGTTCGAAATCAATCCCAGAACTAGTGATTGCTTCAGAGCCCCCCCCCCCCCCCCCAAAAAAAAAAAAAAAAAAAACATTCATCCCACATTGACCCTTGTAAGGAAGAATGTGTATTTAAATTTCCGGGTTGGGCACAGGGAGCTTGAGAAGGTCCAGCCCCCTTGAAAACAATCCCCATACTGACCTCACAAGGAAGAATATGTAGTTGTTGAATTTCCTGGGAATTCTAGAGCAAATCGTACAGAAAAAACTCTTTTGCCCTACGAGGAGGCATCTTGCCGCGAGCGGTCCGTGTCTTGCGTGGTCGGATGGGCAAGCCGCAGAAGCCAAAGTTTTCAGGGTTTAGGGTTTTTAGAGTTTAGGGTTTAGGGTTTTTAGAGTTTAGGGTTTAGAATTTTTACGGTTTTGGGATTTTAGGGTTCAGGGGGTTTAGGGTTTTGGGAAGGTATTCGGGCGCCTAACTTAAGGGGATCCTTGTAAGGTTGTGCCAACTACGTCCCAGAACCAAGGTCCCAGAATCTTCTACTACAAGTATCCAGTGCTGACCCGATTCTGCCAATCAGCCCCTCCAGGGGTTTAGGGTTTAGGGTTTAGGGCTTAAGGTTTAGGGTGTAGGATAACCCTAAACCCTGGACCCGAAACCCTAAAACCCTATCACCTACTCAGGACTGACCTTCTTGCTGATTCCGACCGCATCCGCGTGTGGCTCGGCCGTCCCACCGATCCCGGCGTGGGATCGTGTGGTCAACGCCTTAAAGGAAACCATCCGGTCCCTCACCTTGCCCCTGGGCTTGGGGTCTGCCCACAGCCCCAAATTAGATCTAAAGCACAGCTCTGGAAATATTCAATGCTTGGGTGGAGTTCTGGCATTACATTTGGGGGAGGGATGACACACCTGCTAAAGTGTCGGCTAAACGATGTGAAAGGCTTGTGAGGGCGGTGCCTGAGAAAACTGGGTGAAACAGAAGGAGGGGCAACGCAAACCATAGCTTAGAGTCACCAAATCATCTAGAGGGCTTCGCCTACCCTGCCTGCAACAAGTCGAGCGCACTGCGCCACGAACCCCCAGAGAACATCGACCTAGTCCTACGGCACATGCCCGAAACCCATGTTCGGGCGGTCTCACGCGTCCTGCTTCTCTTTGGTCTCCTTCTTCAGGTTCATGCCTGAAGTCGCGTGAGGGCCTCCTTTGGGGCATATTTATTTATATGAGTATGTGTATATATATATATATTATATATATGTACGTCTGAGACTCTTTCTCACTTTCCAGCGCTGCTCTTTCTCTTTGTTCCCCTCTCCCTCTCTCTGTCTGTCACTCGCTCTTCTTTCATGCTGCTGCATAAGAGTCTAGCTGAGCGCCCCCCTGTTAGGCGGCCAGAGAATATTCATTCAGCAGGTCCTTCGGGCAGGAGATCAGATGGTGCTGCCTGACCTAACAAAACTCCAGGCGGCTCGGGGTAAAGACATGCACGCCCATCGGCCGGCGTCCATCTTGATCCGTTTTGTTATTCCACCTAAGCCCTTTTGCATCTGGGACCCGAAACCCTAAACCCTCTTGCCACTGGTCTGAAGTCTAGCCAGTACACATGCAGCACTGCCACTCAAGATCTTCATGAGGGCAAGCCGAGGAATACAACCATCAACCCTAATTTTTTGAAACCCTCTCTTCTTCTACCTCTCTCTGCCTGCGCAGCTACAATCCTAGACCCTAAACCCTCAAACCCTGGAGGTTGGACCCTAAACCCCGAAGCCCCCACTGAGAAGTCCGAGCTGCCTCGGTAGGGGTCGAAGTCAGGATTGAAGTAGTCCTTGGCATGGGAAAATGGGTCTAGGGTTTATAGGGTTTGGGGTTTAGGGCTTATAATTCAGGGCGTGCGTCTGAAGAATGGGGTAAGGGGGGAAGGTGCGTTGGGGGGGGGGAGGGGGGGGAGGGGGGGGGGAGGGGGGGGGAGGGGGGGGGGGAGGGGGGGGGGAGGGGGGGGGCGGAGGGGGGGGGGCCTTTCCTGAATTCGCGGTTGCATGTCTGGCGAGCCCTAAACACTAAACCCTATAAACCCTAAACCCTGAAGAGCTCTGCGTTTACAGCCTGAGGGGTGAAGACTTGTGCTGAGTTTACCGGGCAATAAGACCTAAACTGTGAACCCTGAACCCTGAACCCCCAAACCCTGAACCCTTATTCATAGCCTAACTGGGCAGCATGAACCCGAACAGAAAAGCACTGCCATACAGGGGTCGGAGTCATTTCTAGTAGTATTCCCTTGTTGTCCCTATACAAAGTAAGCTATAATAATCCCCAACACCCTGTTCTAACTATTGCTGAAGCCACATGAGGGAAATCATGAAGAGTCTCGCAACCAAAAAATGAGGAATTCTTATAGGAGCCAACCATTTGGGCTTCAGGATGTAGGGCCCAAGGCAGGTGTGAGTGTAGGGTTTGGGGTGCAGGGGTTTCATCACATGTGTCCTGCGGGACCAAATGAGCCCTGAAAGGGTCTATGGTTCATATAGCTTAATTGGAGTTGTAGTCGTATAGGGTATATGGCCCCAAGTTTTGGGGGGGTTCGGTTTCAAGGATTGTCCGGGTCCTTAAAGCGGATCCCTAGTACAAGTCATAGTCCCGATTTGGCAGCCAGGTCCAAGCAGGTTCAAAAACCCGACAACTCTTAACCTGAAGCCCTGAAACACGTGAACCCCAAAATTCTAAAGCCCCCAAACCGTTTGGCCCAAACACCCTTAAAATCCCTAAACCCCCCAAAAACGGTAAAAACCCGAAACCCTTAACTCCCCCCCCCACCCTCTTGAAACCTAAAACCCTACAAAACACGACCGAGGCCTCGATCCCTGCCCAAGTGGGTTGGGGGGTGAGGAGGTTTCAGGGATCTCGTTGGGGCACCTTTCAACCCTGAGAGCCTCAATTCCACGACCTTAGAGGCTCGGAGGCTCCAAAAAAAACCCTCCTACAGAGGGACCGCTGCCTCCTAAGGAGTCTCAATTTCTGAGAGGGACTGCTACCTCCTAAGGAGTCTCAATTTCTGGGGTTTTGAGGGCCCAAGAGCCTTATTAGGGCGGGGTTGTGAAAACCCAAGGCGCGTCGGCTTCCGTGCGCGCGTTGCTCGGCACGAGTGTTCCCTCGATCTCGTCTTTCCAGGACTCGTAGCACTGGGCGCGCAAGGAGGGGAAGCCGGACCGGAATGTCAACAAGCAAACACACGCACATGCACATACACACATACATGCATGCATACATACATACATACCTACATACATACACAATTACATATATATATGTACATATATTAACATGAAGACACTACCAGCGCTGCGTGGAAGAGCGACAAACTTTTTGAACAGGCTGTCCACTTTGGGGTTTAGGGTTGGTTTAGTGACCCTCTGCACTCACTCTAGCCGCGAACCTTGCGTCGGGGAGAAACTTCAGCCAAGACGCCACAAGGAGGAGGAAAGCAATGCCGATCGCCCCAATGACATTCCAGGAGTAATCGTCCCCTCGCCACGCTCCTAGGCATGGAGCTTCATCAAAATTAGAGGCCCATCTAGATACCTATATACATATTATACATATATATATATATATGTATATGATTCTTCGAACTATAGCCAGAGCCCCAAAAGCTCAAATACCCCGAAAGACTAAAGTAGTGCGTATGCTGCGAACCCCCCTCCAAAAAAGAGTGACACCACGAATTCAGGGAAACTCTTGGGCATGAGCTTCAGGGTCCCATGATGTATTCTTACAAAACACCAATATAGCACATAAGTACATATGTGTCTATGTACATATATATATATATATATGTGTATGAAGGGGGGGTTAATCTTGGGGGTGAAGGGACAAAAACCACTATACCCCACCCGCAAAAAAACCCAAAGCAGCCAACCCTAAACCCCAAACCCTAAACCCCAAACCCTAAACCCTAAACCCTAAACCCTAAACCCCAAACCCTAAACCCTAAACCTCCGGCCCAGCTGCCCAGTTTTTGCATGGCGGCCTCGCGGCCGGTGAACTCCTCCGTGGCATCCTTGAAGGCCTTGGCCGGCAGCTGCTGTACCCTGGAGTACCCTAAACCCTAAACCCTAAACCCTAAACCCTAAACCCTAAACCCTAAACCCTAAACCCGAAACCACGATAGGGGCCTTCATTTGTTAGAGTAGGGTTTTGGGTGGTTGTTCTGGTAGAATTAATAAGGAGGAACATAAGGGAATGCTACTAGTAATTATCGACCCCTAGAGTAGCCCCCCTAAAAATTGCAAGGACAGGTGGTTTGCCAGTTTTTGGTTTTTTCAGTTCTTACCTTGGTGCACCCGTGTTTCGCTTTGTTCAGCTTCCTGATGTGGGGGTCTTTAGAATCAACCGTCTTTTTTGGGCGAGGCTTTTTCAATTGTTTGCCTTCTGCTGGCTCCAAAACAAACTCAGGTACGAAAGCTCCAAAGCCCTAATGAGGGTGGAGGGTTCATTAAGGGCTGCGCCAGTCTTCTGCTCAACGCTCAAACCACCAACCCAACATTCGCCTCACTCCACCGTGGTTCAGGGTTCTGGCTTTATAACCTTAGGCTCTAAGGCCTCTTACTTTCGGGCTTTTGGGCCAGTAGGCCTTCTTGTATATGTTTTTTGGGCATTTCTGAGCCTACGGGTTCGGGTTCAGGGTTTAGCTGGGTTGGGGCCTCATGGCCTTCTCATATAAGTGTTTGGGCTGTTTTGGGCCTAAGGCTTCTGAGGGTAGTTGCATGGTCCCTTAGTTTGTATGGGCCCTTAAAAGGGGACCCATTACATGCACCCGCATTCCGCGCAATCGACCCCCCCCCCTTCCCAATGGTATCCCCCGCCCCCTGCCCGTTAACCCTAAAACGCCATGGACCACAGCAAAGGGAAGAGAGAAACCCTCAACCTAAACCCCAAACAAGCCCTAAAACCTAAACCCACCAATGAACCACGGGGGAGAAGGGTAAACCCGAAACCTTGGCCCTGAACCGTAAACCCAGCACGAACCACAGGGGGGAGAGGGCAAACCATAAACCTACCATGACCCCAAACCTTGAACCCTAAACTCTCAACCCGCCGTGAACCAATGGACCAAGGGGGTCAGAGTGAAAATCCTGAACTCCACAGCCAAACCCCAACCCCTAAACCCATGAACCACCGGGTGGGGGGAGGAACCCAAAACCCACCATGAACCACAGGTGGGGGGGGGGGGGGATTACCATGGCCGGGGGGGGGGGGGGGGGGGGGGGGCGTGCGTGAATAGGCTCATATATATATATATATATTCATATAATATACCCCTTATATACCCCATATATATATATACATGTACTATACACATTAAGTCCCAGGCTTCGTTTTTGCTTTTCGAAGTGTTGGGGGCTAATGAGTTAAGGGCCACTCCATGCAGCTGGCGGGCACGAGTTGACGCATCCATTTCCTGAAAGGGTTTAGGGTTTAGGGTTTAGGGTTTAGGGTTTAGGGTTTAGGGTTTCGGGTTTAGGGTTCCTTAACCCTAAACCCCAAACCCTAAACCATTTCTGCCACTGGACTGAAAGGCTAGCCAGAACAAACCCTAAACCCTATACACCCTAAACCCTACTGTTGGTTTTTGCTTTAGGGGTTGCGGGCTTGGGGTTGACAGATGTGGTACGGGAAGGGCCATGGAACAGGGCTCTCTCCACTGAAGCGGACAAAACCCCTTTTACAGAGGCAGCGAGGCTCTTGCAGGGTAGCTCCATTCCCTCTAGTCCTGTATGGGAAAGTGCCTTGGAATCCCAAACCCTAAGCCCTAAACAACACCCCGCCCCCTAGGTCCTCCTCGGCCCAGGCCATCGTGGGAAACATCAGCGCTCCCTCAGCAACATCGCTCCGCTTGGGCTTGCTTTGGTGACTTTTAAGTAGGGCGATAAGCAGGGTAACTATGGCTTTAACCCATTTAGATTACTTTTAACATTACTTATACGTACCGATGAACCTTAAGTGGGGCTTACTTGGAGACCTTTCAGTACTTGGAGGTCCATGGTACTTTCTCACCAGTTATGACTGTACTTATATCCCAGAAAGCCGTAAACCCCTTAATTGTACCCCCAAACCCCACTTGTCATGCCCTATAACAGCCCAAACCCTTCTCCCCCACACCCCCTCAAAAAACATTAAGACCCTGCACACCACAGCACAAGAGGGCGCTGAGGCCCCTTAAGGCCCCTAAGGCCCGTTAAGGCCGTTCAAGGCGTTTAAGGCCCCTTAAGGCCCCTTGAGGCCCCTTGCTTGGAGGTTCATGGGTACTGATTAAACAATTATAACTGACTTATTATAACCCACTTATAAGCCCCTTAAGTGCCCTAAAAGGGTTGTAAGTACAGTTATAATTGGTTAACAAGTACCATGAACCTCCAGGTAGGGATGATGGTTATGTAGCCTACTCAAACCCCTTAATTGCACCCCCCAAACCCCATTTGTCACACATAACAGCCCGAACCCTTCTTGCCCCCGCCCCCTCAAAAATATTTGAGCCCTACACCCCACAGCTCAAGAGGGTGCTGAGGCCCCTTAAGGCCCCTTAAGGCATTCAAGGGCCCTTAAGGCCCCTTGAGGCCTTACACCCCTGAACCCTAAACCCTAAACCCTCAACCCTAAACCCTAAACCCCTTGAGGCCCCCGACCAGGCCGAGCGCGGCATGGGGCTTCGGGGCGCTGACGAAGGCGCGGAAGCTGAGGCCGGCTGTGGCCCTGAGAGGGGAGGCGCTAGGGTTTAGGGTTTAGGGTTTAGGGTTTAGGGTTTAGGGTTTAGGGTTTAGGGTTTAGGGTTTAGCGTGGTTGCAAACGGTTTAGGGTCTAGGATGGTTTAGGGTGTAAGGTTAACAGGTTGAAAGAGCTTCTGAGGAGTTTTTAAGGATTTCGAGGACCATAAGGGTTAAGGGTTGCAGTGTGGGTTCTCTCTACGGGTTTACTATAAGGGCTACAGGGTTGTAGGGGAGCTCATTGGAATTCAGAAGGGCTGTAGGGTGTACACGGGCTTAAACAGTTCACAGGATTCATAAGGGCTTATTGGTTTCAAAGGTTTATAGGCCTATAGGGTTTATGAGGAGAGAAAGAAAGTCGGGGCTCTGGAAACTTCTTATCCCGCTGGTTGCGGGTTAGGGTTCGCTTAGGGCTTTCTTGGCAGGGTTGAGGCCCCTATAAATCCTAAGCTTTTTAAACCCTAAACCCTAAACCGAATTTGTAGCAGGATGTGGCGGGCTCAGGGGGCATAAGGGGGCATTCCTGTGTAGTTGCTTCGGGCCCTGACGAATGTTTTGGGGCCTGAATAATTGGAATAGTTTTTTTTTTTTTTGGGGGGGGGGTATTATAGTATGATTACAAAGGGGCCGTAAGGGAATATCATTAGTAATCATTCCGACCCTTTGAAGCACTGGGGGTTCGAGGAGTCAACAAGAATGCCCTAAACGAAGTGGACATATACACCGCTGGCGCGAGAGTGCAACACCCCCACCGTTGAGGGAGTACTGGCATCCTCATAATCTAAAGGCAAGTTACATAGTCACTGAATATGGTGCCTTACCTTCTGCAGGGCGTTCTGAAGCATGGGCCTTGGGTATTCTAGGGTATATCAGGGGCATGTCATGATGTCCCAATGGAGGGTCTGTACTAAGAAACCTTGCAACTGCCCATGACAGAAACAAGGCCAACCTCGCACCTCAGCCAGTCTTATAAGGCATGCTGTCAGTCTCCGCAAACACCAATGTCCCCCTTTTGGAACCCAGACCCGGAGCCCTGAACCCCAAACCCCAAACCCGAAACACTACACCCTAAACCCCACCACCCCGAATCCCTAAACCCTAAACCCTAAACCCTAAACCCCACCACCCCGCATCCCTAAACCCCCTCCCAAGCGGCAAGACCAGGAGAGCCAGGATGGGCCCTCGGTTTTGGGGTTTAGGGTTTAGGGTTTGGGCTTTAGGGCTAGGGTTTAGGATTTGGGGTTTAGGGCTAGGGTTTAGGGCTAGGGTTTAGGGTCTGGGGTTTAGGGTTTCGGTGTTTGGGGGCTTATAGGAGCAAGTCCCAAACCCTGCAAAGGCTCTCCCTTCAAAGGGCTCTCCCTGTCCTGACCCACAAATGATGGTCCAGGGAGTTCTACACCTAGCTAGTAGGTCCCTGAAAGTCATTGGGTGTACTTGCCCTCATAAACGAGCCCCCAACCCTTGAAAAACAACCGCATGTGTGTCTCTGCGCTTCTTATGGCCAGCACAGCTGAAACGAATGTTGTCAACCAGTGGTATGTGGGGCTGTTGAGTCTACGTGTTGGCTGAAGTTTTGGGGCTTGGAAAGGGGTTGAGGGCTTGGGGCACACCACCAACACCACATTAAGAAGAAGGAGGGTCCAGGGAACCCGCCCAAAACTTTATTTTAAATGCTGGAACAAAAGCCGGACCCCGCAGTCCACCCCCCAAACCCTAAAAACACTTCTGCAGCATGCATGCGTGGGTCCTCGCCTGGATCAAACCCTAAAGCCTTGAGCCCTAAACCTAAACCCTGAACCCGAAACCGGACCGAATTTATGACAATTGGCCAACTATCCTCAACTCGTCTTCCTTGCGCGCGAGCAGCTACGCGACACCATGGCGGTCCACTCTCCAAAATTAGTCGTCACTTAGGGAATTTGGGCCAAAACGCTGATGCCCTGTTTGTGTAGGATTTGGGTTTGGAAACTTTAGACATGGGTTACTCCAAGCACGATAATTGCTCTACTAGATGGCCCGAAGGGAACCCCCATAAACTACCCTGACCCTTAATTAAACCCCCTATGAAACCATACAGGAAGCCCTCAAACCCTTAGATGTTGGGGTTTGCCACCCGCCCAGCACTCGCGCAGTGCGGGGACAACTTCAAAGGGCGACTGCTTCACACAGCCAACTCGCTCCGACCCCCGCGGAAGACCAACACAGGGGTTAGTCACTTGGCAAGACGACTTTGGAGTTTAGGACTTAGGTTTGGGGCTCGTGGTTTTACTTCGAAGCCGTCCCTCGTGCTGAGGGCATGGGCAGACTTGAGGGTTACTTCGGTTCGTCTGGCGAGGGTTCGGGCGCAGCTCCGGCATCTGAATTTTGCTTTAACTTCATAGGGGTTCTTCCAAACACGCACGCGATCACGAGCATACGACTGTCGCAAGGTCAATTTGACTGGGCTGGGGGAGGGTCGGGAATATTACAGGGCGCCAACCCCCCCCCCCCCCCAAAAAAAAAAAAAAAAAAAAAGCTATGAAGCTAAAGCAAGCCCCACAAGCCCCACACTCCAGGCACTCCAAAACCCCGCATGCTGCGGCCCGGGGCCATGAGCTCAGGTAGGTCCAAGCCCCGCTCCTCTGCTGGGGCGATGATGATGATGATGATGATGATGTGCTCATGGGTTTCCCTACTACCCCCCTCTATACTACACCCCCGTAGGTTCCTTCCTTGAGGAACCTTCATGAGGCTTGATTCTCCCTAAATCGCCTTCACTCTGGGGGGAACCTAGGGTAGTAGGGGAACCCTGATGTTTGTCTGCATTGGCAGTCGCCGCCTGAAGGATTCTGTTTATGACTGTATGGTGACATGACGAAGATGATGGGTGGTGCTGCCACAGTTGAGAACATCAAAGTTGAACAGAACAGTACGCTTCCACGGGGCTCACAGATGTCCCGGGCGCCACCGCCAAAAACGGATTTCCACATGAAATAGACTCGCATGTTCAATGTTTGAGAGCCGTCGCGCCCGCCCCACCATTCAGCTTCCACAGACTCATGGGAGTGACCATCGCTGCTCTTTCCCGAAGGCTCCCTTGGAGCCTTATACGGAAACTCCAATCTCCATCTCCCTAGACCTGAAGCCCTGAACATGAATCGAGCCCCCTCAGTTAAGCCCTTACCCCTGACATGTCCTTGGCAATGGAAGCCATGGTGACCCATTCGACGCCCAACGAGGCAGTGGAGACCTGGAGGATACCAGGTTGTCAAAAAAAATCTCGGTACCCTGAACTCTTGATTGGGACTCTTAGGAAGCATAGACTCAATCCAGTGAGGGCCTAAACCCTAAACCCTAAACCCCAAAGCTCCATAATCCAGATCCAACCCCGTTCTTGCATGCAGCACGTTCCAGTCAGGCCTGCTCTGCGTCCTATGAACGTTACCTGTACGCACCTGTATGAACCCCCTAAACCCTAGCCCTAAACCCTAAACCCTAAACCCTAAACCCTAAACCCTAAACCCTAAACCCTAAACCCTAAACCCTAAACCTCCAAGTGGGGCTTGCAAAGCCTCCCAGGAAGTTCAGTGACCTACCTGCATTGCCCCGAAGCCTTGGGGCAGGCGTCGAGAAGGGGTAGAGACGAGCAATGCTTAGGATAGGGCTTTTCGGTTTAGGGCAGAGACTTGCTTGCAAGAACCGGCAGCCATTGGCAAGTTTTCACATCAACGCCCAGGCACTTCGGTGCACCCCAAACCAACAAAAAAGGACGGAGAAAACATGCAAACACCCACGAATCGCAAGTGAAGTGCATTTCACCGGGGCAAAGTGGGTGCTTTCAATTGCGGTTTCAAACCGCAGCCTGTTTGCTACTCTAGCCAGGAACCACCGGAAAAAAAGCCTCTGTGTTGGAAACCCCCCACCGGGGTTCGGACTTGCAGGAAACGCTGCAAGATGCACAAGTACAGGTTGCCCTGTCATGTGACAAACGAGCGGCAAATCCTGAATAGGTTCAGGGTTTAGGGTTTACGGTTTAGGGCTTTATTTTCCCTCCTGCTTGATAGGTTTTAGGGCGAAGGATCACCGATTGGAGGAGGCTTACCAACACAGGTGCAAAGAGCCCTCTTCAAACAACCGCGGAAAAGGCCAGGTTTCTCAAATGATCCGGCCCCAGCCCCGAGCACTCCACTAAACCCTAAACCCTAGAGCAGCAAAAGAGGCGCCTTGTGATCCGTCCAGTCTGAGCAATCCGACGCCCAGGCGACGTTCACGATCTCAGTGGGCTCCCAACGGCTTGGGACACCCTGGGAAGACATTTCTATAGGCTCGAGTGTAGAACATGCGAAACCCTAAGCCCTAAGCCCTAAACATATAAGTCCGATTTTGCTTCAAGCGATGTTGTGCGAGGACAGCATAGAGCGACCCCTGCAATACTTGTGGCTCGAATGATAGCAGGGACCCCAAGCGGGTGTCCGAAATGCCGAGATCCGGATCGCTTCGTGGAGGATTTCCCGACTTCGTCAGGCTTTCATCCTAAACCCTGGGACCTACCACAACCTAAACTCAGAAACCCTTGTTATAAACCCTAAACCCTAAACCCTAATCAAGGTGAAGGGATCGGGGTGGCTGGGTCCCCCCACATTCTGCGAGATCGCCTGTGCAGCGGCAAGGAATCAGCCGAGGGCTTCCGGTTTCCCCAAACCCTAAACCCTAAACCCTGAACCCTGAACCCTAAACCCTAAACCCTAAACCCTAAACCCTAAACCCTAAACCCTAAACCCTACACAGTGTGAGACCAGAAGCTGTATGGGTGCCTCGGAGAGACGGTGCAAGATGGGTTCGGCGGAGATACCCATGGCCGCCTCTCTGCATCGGCTGCAACAAGCGGACTGCACAAGTTTGTACATTGTACTCAATCCCTAAACCCTAAACCCTAAACCCTAAACCCTAAACCCTAAGCCCTAAACCCTAAACCCTAAACCCGGGAACCCTGGGGGCAAAAAGGTCCCTGTTTAAGGGAGCCAGAAGAGGGTGCTGTGCCATTGCCTCTTTGCTCTCCTCTACAAAGATGCACCCGCGCAAAACTAGAGGGTTCTTAAGGGATGGGGGTTCAAGTGGGGTACATAACCCAAGGTTCTCTAATACTCCCTACTACTCCCTAAAGCTCCCTCGCCTTCGCTAGGTACCTACCCCCATGAACCCCCCTCCCTTAAGAACCCTACAACAAAAGTAGCTCGAAAATCGCCCGGGGCCCGTCACAAAGAAAAACCAAAGCAGCTATCAGGCGAACAGCCCAATCCATCCGAACGCCTCAAAGAGACGACCCTAAACCCTAAACCCTAAACCCTAAACCCTAAACCCTAAACCCTAAACCGCAATAAACCCTAGACCGCAAAAAAGCTGGGTGCGGGGCCAGCTGCAACGACTACATTTGGGTACCTATAAGAAGGGTGATGGGTGGCGCAACTATGGTTACAACCTTATCTCGGGTACCTCTAACCCTACTTAGAAGTACCCGTGAACCTTCAAGTAGGCTGGCAATTGGGAGGCTTCAGGTGCTGTCCCTAAACCCTAAACCCTAAACCCTAAACCCTAAACCCTCCTAACACCCTCCTCACCTCGCGGCGGTGCTTGGGCGATGCAAGTGGCCACACGGCGTTCGCAATCTCCTCTGAGGGTTCAGGGTTCAGGGTTTAGGGTTTATGGTTTCGGGGAGTTCGTTGCGGCTGGGGACTATAATTGGTTGTTTCCGAAAATAGAGGCACCCTTTTGGGGATTCCTTCAAGGTGATTCTATGCTATTTGGGGTAGAAAAGGGGTACCCCTATTTTCGGAGAGCCCCCGAAAAAAGATCATCTGCCACCAGACTCCTGCGACGTGAAGTCGCTGGCGCTGGTCTTCGTGGCCTTGCTTGCAGGATCCAACCCTAAACCCTAAACCCCAAAACCTAAACCCTAAACCCTAAACCCTAAACCGAGACTTCGCAGACTTGCCCTACTTGGAATTTCAGGGTACTTAGAACCCCAAGGATAACTGTACTTATAAGTCCCCTAAGTCCTCTAAGTAGGTTATAAGTAGACACATATATGAAAGTACCCATGAACGTCCAAGTAAGGGTCCATGTACCCAAGCATACGAAATACTTGGGCCTTGAACGTACCTCCCCTAGAGGGACGTTGAGGCCCAAGTGTATAATCATGAGGCACATGACCCTTAGAGTCTAGTACAGATGTGACACAGCATGGCTGCAAGTAGCCTAAGGTGGGTTACTTGCAAGATAGCCTGACACGTTTCCTCACGCTGCTATGGAGGGGAGTCCACTCCGCCACCGCTGTGAGGTCTAACTGAAGATTACCAAGCTAGAGTTTGGGGCTTCAGAGCCGGGGTCAAAAAGGAGCAATTCTTCCTTGTGGCAAAAAGGTGCACGTCTTGAATGGTCGGTAGGACTAACGGCCTCAAGATGTAGGGTCTTCCTTAACATGTAACTTCCAGCTAGGTGCCTAGAGTAGTACATACATGTGCAAATCTCTCTGTGTATATACCTCCCTGGAAGATTGAGCCGCGACAGGAGGGCCCTTCAGTCCCTTCGCGAAGCCCTTCAACCCGAATCGCGGGGTTTGGGTGCTGGGGTTCATCGAAGGTGCGTTCCTGGGCAGGTTTTCGGGTTTAAGGGTTTAGGCTAGCTTAGAATATGCACACGGTTCAGCTTCTGTAACAATATATAGGGTTGGGGCCTCAACACGTTCTCTCCCTAAATCCTAAACCCTAAACCCTAAACCCGACTGAGTTGTTGGCGGCTGCAGCCGGCGAGTCCAAGAGCAGTTGGTGATCTCGGCGCGTGGGTCGGGAAGTGCTCTGCTTAGGGTTAGGGTTTAGGGCTCGTAGTGTTTAGGGTTTAGGGT